CCCTCTCTAGACACAGTACGAACCGGCCCGGTTGCTCCAGCCGGGCAAAACTCCACCGAGTTTTTCTTCTTGGCAGAGGAAGAGCTGTGCAGGACTCCTGTCCTTGCTGTTGACTTTCCCTAGCAACTCGGCTTTTGTTGTTGGTGTTGTTGTTGTTGTTGACGGGTGATATTGTTGGTGCTGTTGTTTAAACTGGCTTCTCAATGCGCTCCTCTTTCCATCTGATCATTTTCTTTTCCATGGACCTGTAAGCAGGTTCCGTTTGAAAGGCCAAAGTGCAGCTTAGGTAGCTGGCACGTCCTCTTATTTTAAGACATTTTCTTTGAGCCTTGAAAATGGTCCCTTCAGTTCCCTGAACTTTTCATACTCTGATTATGGCGAGTATCATAGATTGAATTTGCATCTAGGCGAAGGAGTGCGCCTACATCCCATTATAGGCATCGAAGCAGAAAGGCGTATTCGCACTAACTCTAAAACAAATTACCGTTACCCTGATTGTCCGCGATTTTTTTTTTCCTTGAGAATGCATTGAGTAAAAAGTGAAACAGTTTGGGTTTGTAACCAGCTATTTTTATCTCTGATGTCATTCAAACGTTTTCCTTGCTAAAAACTGCAAATTTCGCAGCGGCGGTAAGCATAGGTTCCACTTTATTTCTAAATGCCTCTCTTTTCTACCCCTCTCCCCCTAAACATAATGTGTGAAGATTTATAACTGGGTGCACGTAAGGCAGAACTTGTGAGGGTTTTAAATGTATATGTGTGCATATATATAAAACATATGTAGGTAGGTAGGTAGGTATGTTTTTGAACAAAGGTCAACATCTGAAATCAGGTCATTTTTTTGTGTTGCAAACATTTCTCCCGAAAGCATTTTCAGTAAACCGCATTTCCTACTTTTTTTAACCTTGATTTTGGTAATGCAGTAAAAGTTGACACAGAAGCAATGAGTGATTTACAAGTGGCTTCTTCAAAAGAATTCCCAACAGAGATTACAGAGAAATATCATTTCAGCAACAATAACAAAATACAACGGAATAAAGGGAGTGCAGAAAGCCTACTCTGTAACACATTATAAAAATTACATCAGGCTCCTTAACGATGGCATTCTTCTCTTTGTGTATAAGCTTTACCTCTGAAATTAAAATATACGTTCCTTTTAAACTGTTTGACAAAGTTAGATCAGTTTCTTTGCGGACATTTTTAAAGACGTTCATTTTTTAGGCTCACATAAAATTTCACGAGATTAGTGTTGTGAATATTTTTCTGGACTAGAAAAAGTAACATTGTAACAGAAACAAGAAAAAACGAAAACGGCTTTAAATGTTACATATCCAGGAACAGTTCCATTTCCTGCTGGCAAAGGTGTCCTCTTGATTTACTACAGTGATAATTATTTGCCATGACAGTGATATTTTGAAATAAATTCTAGATTTCTTACAATTTTGAAATCATGAGTTAAAATACTAAGTTAATATCTGGACAATTTGCGGCAATAATGAAGCCTAATGAGGTTATTAGAAAGATAAAATGTTATTTAACAAAACACCTGACGGGATAATTTGACTTGCTGTGTTTTACTACTGATGATAAAAAGAATATTGATTGCAAATAAATCACCGTCTCTAAACGCTTGTAAACAGTTTGTGTTTGCTCTGCTCAGATCAAAGTAAAACTTATGAGATAAAGTATCTGCATATACGTATTCTACAGTGCATGGATCAGTTTTCATTACAGAGTTCAAAGGCTCTCCTAGCAGAAGTTAACATTTTACATCATAATCTTACAGTATTTGGGGGGTGTATGCAACATATTTTCCAGAAGAAGTGTGTTCGTACCGAACCATACGAAACTGCGTTCATATCCCTAGTCTCGTTTCACGTCAACTTATTTTTAAAGGCAGATCTGGGGCCAAATAAGAATGCTCTGGATTTACTGGTAGTATCCTCCCGGATATTTTGCAGATAATTACAGTGCTGTGTGCAGGCATTAGTTTGTACCTGGCGTAATACTTGTTTTTTCCTGCCCGATTATTTCGACCACACAATAAATTGTCTCGTCGAGGCGAATGTGAACTTACTGCGTTTCCATCTTTTGATTTGCTTTGGTTTGCAGAGAAAATGCGCATAGCGTTTGGCAGCCCCCAGTTTAGTCCATCTCTTTTCCTTTCTCTGCAAGAAGGGGGGATCGTTTGGGAATACCTCTATCCGATCTAAACGTGAAGCGCCTGGAGCGGGGAGGGCCGAATTTGACTGTGAAGACCCTTTGCACTGTTCACAGGCGCATTCCGGCTCCCGGAGTAGCCTATTCAGGTCTGTTAGAGACGCTAACGAGATAATTGATGTGCTTTTTCCTCTCCACTTGTCTGAATGTGTTGCAGGGCTCCCAGTACGAGCTGAAAGATAATCCGGGTGTCCACCCTGCTACCTTTGCTGCCCACACTGCCCCTGGCTATTACCCCTACGGACAGTTCCAGTACGGAGATCCCGGGCGGCCCAAAAACGCTACCCGGGAGAGCACCAGCACCCTCAAGGCCTGGCTCAACGAGCACCGCAAGAACCCCTACCCCACCAAGGGCGAGAAGATCATGCTGGCCATCATCACCAAGATGACCCTCACCCAGGTCTCCACCTGGTTCGCCAACGCCCGCCGGCGCCTCAAGAAGGAGAACAAAGTGACCTGGGGCTCCAGGAGTAAAGATCAAGAAGATGCCAACCTTTTCGGGAGTGACAATGAGGGAGACCCCGAGAAGAATGAAGACGATGAGGAAATCGACCTGGAGAGCATAGACATAGATAAAATCGACGAGAACGACGGGGAGCAGAGCAATGAGGAGGAGGAGGAGAAGCCAGAGCTCCTGAGACAAAGCAGTGAAGAGGAGCACTTGGAAAAAGAGAAAGATTTGGCACTGTCAGGAGCTGAAGGGCTGAAACCCAAAGACACGATGGCCATGGTGAAGGAGGCCTCCGACACGCGAATCATAAGTCCCAGTGGACAGAACAATTTACAGATGCCATCTCTCAGCAAACCCAAGATTTGGTCTTTGGCAGAGACTGCAACCAGTCCTGATGGCGCCCTGAAGTCTTCTCCCCCTCCACCCCCTCCTCCCCAGGTTAACCACACTTCCCCACAGATCCAGCATCCTGCTTTTCTCCCTAGCCATGGACTCTACACATGCCAGATCGGCAAATTTCACAACTGGACAAATGGGGCTTTCCTCACTCAGAGTTCCCTGCTAAATGTGAGGTCCTTTCTGGGAGTAAACCATCACCACGCTGCTCATCACAACCACCACCTCCAGGCCCAGCAACAGCCTTCTGTTTTAACAGCAACCCTGGGAGCCCTAAGTGGCGAAAAACCTTCAGAGAGGACCAGTCCCAAACACATAGGTAATGCACCCTACAGAGATC